TGTAAATACCTCTGAACCAAGTGCAATTATAGCTCCAGAGTTTTATTTCATTATATTTTACTATCTTATTACTTAATTTGGATGTTATTATATATTATCCTAAATGATAGAACCTGTTTGTGTGCAATCTGAGTGCTCTTATTTCCCTCTTTCTCTGCTGTAATATGTACAATGATGACATTGAAATGTCCCATTGTGGGACATTGAAAAGAATATCTTACATTTTATTTTATTTTAAATCTTATCCACCTCTCACACACTACCACATGACTGGTTTCAGGCGTCAATAATCATGATTTATATAACTTAAGATTGAAATTTTTTGTACAGCTCCTTATAATATTATTAAATGCCAGACTGAATTCCCTTACCAGTCACAGTATGAACCATATCTTTAATAAGGATGTTTGAACTGTCCTTGGGAAATAAGCGTTCATCTTCTTACCGCATATTTAAAATGACCTAAACCAACAGTTTTTTCCTCTTCGTAACTTGTGCTGTCATCATCATTATTTCAGCTTTGTTCGTGGCATTTCACAAGTCCTCCGCTTCAATCTGCACAGTTTGGGTTTCACTGTTGGCTCGATGCGATGCCAGAATGACAAAAGTTTGGGTGCGTGATGTCAGTGTTGTGGAGTGGTACGGCCACAAAAGAACTGAACTCCTCTGCAATTATGAACCCGACCCGTTTACCACTGAAACTCGTCCTTTTAATAATTTAGACATTGCATTATGCATTTATTTCTTCATCTCTGTCAACGGCACATAAAGAAATTAATCATTTAAACATGTTATATAACAGTTTAGCATTTTTTTTAAGTCTGTGTGTAACTGCAGTATGTTAAACCATGTTACATTGGGCATGCGTTGAGGTTTTTTAACATGGCATTTCATTCTTTGAGTGTCTTTTATAAATTCTATCATTAAACTCTTTTAAAGGAATGAGGTGAAATTACCATAATTATGTTGTTTCTGGGGCAACAAGATTAATAACAATCATGTCAAAATTGCACGTTTAATGGTTGAAATTAGAACCTTAAAGAGAAATCTTTAAATCTTTAAAATTAAAATATAATGTAATTTTACCTTGTTAGATTTGTAGTAATGTAACTAGTTATGTTTATTTATATAGCGTATTTTACAAACCAAAGTCACCCAAAGAACTTCACAATTCTTCAGTTTAGATTTTCCATTCTCTCCACATGGTGATGACGGAAGCGAGTCGCACATCAAAGCCTCCGACCAAACACCATCCAAATACACTCAGACTTATTGTGCATGTTTTTAGTGGTAGGAGAAACCGGAACACCCGGAGGAAACCTAATTTGATTGTAGATTTGATTGTAGATACAATCAAATTAGGAGAACATTTAGAAATGACCCGTTTCATTTTAATGTTCAATCTACAAGGCTGAACACATAAGAAAGTTGTAATAGTGACTCGCGCGTATTTCACCGTCTCCTGATAGAGCAGCGGTCTCAGTCCTAGCGCCGCTCGCTGTAGCGTTTCCACTCAAGGTAAAGTCTCCTTGTGAGGAACATAGTTTTTAATGAAACATCGAATCCTGTACTTCTGCAACTCGTTGAAGTTCGTTGGCCGTTCTCCCTGAGGCTGCGATCAAGTCCATCCCATGGATCTAAAGGTCCATCCTCGCCTCTCACATGTAGCCTCTTTCCTCTCCTTCCTTCACCGTCCAAATCCTCCTCTTCTCCTTTTGTCATGGTGTGGATTTTTATTTCTGTATTTGGTTTTATTTTGACATTAGTTATCTGGTTTCATTTCAGTTTTACTTCACCTGATGTGATTCACCTGTGTCTGTGTGTGTCTATATGTACCCTGTGCTTCTCTCCCCCTTGTTGCTTCTGCATTGTCTTGTCTTGTCAAGGTCTGTTCTGTTCCTGTGTTCCTGGTTTCTTTGTTGTTTTGTTTTTACCTTGGACTTTATGTATTAAATCTTTATTTTTGGCATTCCGGCGTTTGAGTCCTCACTCACTCCACCTTGTGACACCTTTGGTCTGAAGCCTATTGTGCGTTTGTGAGCAGTGCATTGCAACACATCTTCTTGTCATTTTGAATATCCACCGTTTTAGTGCAAATAATAGATTAACAAAATGTAACCAAGCGTGATAGTATGGAAGACATGTACTTCCAGATCACACCGGTGCCCGCAGTGTCGTCACTGAGGGAGAAGTGCTGGTATGTTTTTGTTTCCATGGACATTGCTATGGTCTTTTCTCGATTCGGGGGGATCAGACGAAATTGATTTTGAAACCTTTAGTAGTTCCCTTCTAATATAAAATAGTATTAAAACTGTATTTCTAAATCGATGCAAACCCTGCATAAGGTCTTTAATACTGACACAGACCAAGTGGTGGTCAGAGGGACCAGTTGAGCCTTTTGGTAGCTGTGGGTAGTAGCTTACCAACAATCAATATTAAATGAATGAGTAAGGACCTCAGTGTAGCGCATTGAGCATGTAAACTTTAGTGTAAAGTTGCATCAAAAAACATATAACTCATTGTTACGGCTTTACCTATCTGTAATTCAATCTGAAGAGACTCAAAATGACAAAACATGGGTATTAGAAATGTATGTTGTTTGGCAAGTAATTTGACACTACAGAAATTACACATATGACATTGAGGACACGGTTTTCAAAATTACATTAATTGTGCTATACAGAATGTGGTCAGGATTTGGCGCTTGGAGAGCAGAGCACTGCACGAGATGAAATCCCCGGGCCCTAGACCCTGGTGGTGGTAGCTAGGAGAAGGATGTTCCAGGAGCTGGCCTGGAACGAGGCGGAGATGGGGAGGAGGAGGGTTGCGGGGTGAACATAGCTGCTGCTTGGATGAAGCTTCTGTGTTATATGAAGCTGATGTGGACAGTGCCTGATTGCTGCAGGTGAGGATTTCCTGTCTGCCAATCTGAATTTCCACTTTAGCTTCATTAGTAGTAATTACCACTCTTTGTATTAGTTTTTGTTCAATCAATCATGTCAACAGTCACATTCCAGTCTATGATTATCAATCAATATTTATATGATTATTTGTATAATAGCGGTTTTCAGTAATGCACCTGTATTATAACGCAGATAAAAAGACGCATTTTAAATGAAGACAAAAGGAGATGAAAGAGGACATTTAAAATCTCACAATCTTTAATAAAGAAAAAAAAGGTTATTAAAAGTTATTCCGTGCATCATTGATTTTGTATCTTCTTGATGCCCAAATAAACACACTTTTATATATATTATAAACAACAAAACAAACACTCAAGCCACAATCGAGCAACAAAAACTCCCGGATCCTTTATAGTGAAACGACATGTCGCAGAACCGTCCCGAAAATACACTGATATAATTGGATTTAGTACCATATTTTATTACCATACATCACATTGTATAATATATATACCATACATCACATTGTATAATATATATACCATACATCACATGTATAATTATGTCTTTTATAAACAGTACATAATGTGACACCAGTGTTACCTTTTGCTCATGAATTTTATTGAAGTAGGAATTATAAAAATCCAGAGTTGTTGCAATGGGAAAAATCCAAACTATTTACATAGAGACAAAGACAATTATTTTTGTCAATATAGATGGGAAAAATTCTAAATACCTTCTTCAATTATGTATTTGTCTTTAACATAGCACTCTAACAGTTAGGATCATACATTTCCAGACGTTTCACCAGTAAAACTTCACAACAATGATAAACATATTTGTTGACAGTTTAATGTAAGTATAATTACAGTTACAAAGTGACAAGGAGCTCAGAATCTCTGACTCTCGGATTCTTTTTTCACAGCAGCTCATCACCGCTTGTAAGCATGCGAGGGCCTTCTAAACATGGAGCAGATGTTGGTAATGTAGTCGGCAACATATGGACACTGATGTCTTGGGAAGCGCTGACGAAGATCAGACCTATTGCCTCTTTCTGCTGTCATCTCTGTTCGCAAAATGTTAAAAGGTCACATGAAAAATGCATGACTGCGGCCTGAGGATCTCACCACTGCTGCATGTGGAAGAGCGGCGGTCAGACAGAGTACATGATGTTGAGAATTTTAAGGAAAAGAAGTTTGTGTATATCGTCTCACTGTACTTTTTTTAATCAAAGCTCTGGAATTCATCATTCTAAAAGGAAAAGGCCTATTTTATTATGAAATGCAAACCTTATTGTATTACCTTGTTTTACAACTTTTGACACTGTTGACTTGTGATAATTATTTTTTTTTTCACATATCTTGAACTGCTATTGGAGCTGCATGGGCACTATTAATTCATAATGCCTTGAAAAAGTATTCATACCCCATTTACCTTTTTATCACATTTTTTTACTTTTTACTACCATTAACTCTAACCATTTACAAATATAAGTATTTTATATAATTTTACATTAAGACAAAGCATAGACAAATTGTTACATGATTAGATTTAAAGCAGATATACTGTATTTACACCTTAGCCTGCTAATGACAGTGACAGTCTAGGACGGGGGGAAGGGCTTTCCGAAGTAAATGCAAATTAGTCCTATTTGTGCACTGGGATGATCATGGGCAAACTTTGAGACCTGTTCGGGTGGGGTAACTTTGAAATATCCAATATCCAATTCTTTACATATTATCTGCTAACCCTGGTGTTATACTTTTTGGAAAGCTTGAAATCCTTTTTTTCAGAATCTTAACTCAAAATGCCCCTGGTTCAACTGTCTGTCTGTTTACATACATAGCCATTACAGTATGACTATGTCTAGAACTCCAACAAACTCTGAAATGTGAGTTTGTGGTGAAGGACAGAAATACATCCATGTGAAACGGAGAGATAGAACAGAAAATTCCTCTATATCCAGGAACTATAGTTACATGAATTATATTTAATAGTTAAATATTTTCTTGTTTGAAAGTTTGCTGCTGATATTCTGCCAAAATATTGTTCAGGCCTTGTCCACACAAATGATCAGTTGTTTTCTCTTTCTTCCAGTGGATGTGTTAAGCCGATCTTGGGTCGCTTCAGTGAGCTCCGGGCGCTCCTGTCGGACATGAAGATAGAGGACGGCAGTGTAGACGCGGTGCTGCTAGATGCTGGCTGCTCCTCCATGCAGATGGACCAGGCACAGAGAGGCTTTGCTCTGAGCAAAGATGGGCCCCTGGACATGAGGATGGATGGAGACAGGTCAGTGAATGCGCTAAATGAACAAAAGCAGTGGTGAAATGGTAAATTGTCATATTCATGAAAAGAAAAAAAATCATTTCAATGCATTCAGTGCTCTTGTCAACATGGAACCACTCAACTATGAACATATACTTGTATACCAGTTTTAGTTTTTAATTCTATTTCTATTTATTTATTTACATTATACCAGTACAGGGGTGAGGCAGCAGCATTCCTGTTCAGGTTGTGACCCACTGTTTGTAAAGCCCTCCGTTATCTGCATCTTGTGATAGATACTGTATGTTATTATGTGTTCGAGATGTCGCTCAGTTGGGTTAAAAAAAATAAGTACATTCCTCAATTATAGATTATTTTAATGCATTCAAAAGTTGGATGTTGTAACTGATCCAAGAAAAGTCGCATACTTTAAATTAAGAATTGTCTCATCATTTCTGTTTTTCTTGCATTTCTGTAGAATGGGATTTTTTTTTTTTTCCAATAAAGTTGATTATGAAAAAGCTGTCTCTTTATTTGCCTATTTTAGTCTGATTCTGAAAAGTATGGGAGAATTCCATGCACCTTTTTTCATTATTATATTCTAAATTATTTAGTTAAAAAGCACCACTTTTCTTTGCTAATGATAGTCAGATTTTTAGTGTCCCCCGTCAGAAATCCTTTATTACTAGCTTCTCTTTGAATACAACGCCTGTGCCACATGTGAAGTAGCAGGAAAACCTTTGATTGCACGTGAAAACAAGTGCGATAACACAACCCAAAAATTGTGTTTTTCAAATATTTATCAATTATTTCTTGCATATGAGAAAATGTAGACACTGTTATCTTGTGTACAAAGCGGCTCCTGTTTCATAATTTATTTGCGGCCACAGTCTGTTTGTGTATTCAGAAGTGTTAGTAAATCTTAGTAATTAACAAGTGCCACAGAGACATGAGAACCAACAGCTTTGATTATCTTTTATGAGCCGTGCCACAACCCGAATCTCCTCCTTCATTGGTCCCTACAATATTCTCTGCAACATAATGCTTTTGTATTTTCTACTTCTTCAGCTGTACTCTCATAATTGTCACCAGTGGCGAAGGAGCAGAGGGGGGGTTGTGACGTCAAGCCGTTTAATTGGGCATCTCTTTGTGCGTAGGTACCCTGACATGCCCTGCGCAGCTGACGTTGTGAATACCTTAGATCAACAGGCTCTCGCATCCATCCTCAGCGCATACGGCGAGGAGAAGCGCGCCTGGAAAATCGCTTCAGCCATAATAGAAGCACGCCGGTCCAGCCCTATCAACACAACTCAGCAGCTGGCCAGAGTGGTCGCAGGTATAGCCAATAATTAGTGTCCCGGGGATTTAGCTGAATAAAAAGGAGTGCTTATATAGGTTTTTTTAATGTTATTTTTATGTATTATTGCGGCACAGCGGTCATGTCTCTGCTTTAGCGTAGGAGATGAGACATGTGGCTGCTGCAGAATTAGACTCATCTCCTGAAAACACACACACACACATGCACAGTCTTTCAAGCCCTGTTTTCCCCCACTTCACATGATTTTGCCAATTGCCCCATTGTAGCCATGCACTTGAGAGCGCTTTTATGCAGGCACGCACTGTGTCGGCTCGTGTGCGTTTTCCTTGAGTGATTGTTTTGGGCTCACACGCCTTTCGAGATCCGAGTGAGGTGTCATCTCAATAGTTATTGCACAGAGCGTTACGTGCGTCAGTGTCACTGAGGGACACTGAGGGAACAGGTGTGAGTAACTGCAGCTGTTTGATATTTTTTAAAGAGCAGCGAGTCTGTGCCGCCTATGTTTTCAGCACAACAATCCGTGAGGTTTATTTTAATACGATAGAGCTATACACCCAGCTGAGCTTCACAAAAACACATATACGCCGTTTAAGAACTTTTACAAATCAAGACTCGCATTTCAATTTCTCATTCAAGCAGCATGCCCACTTTACATGCATAAATAATTAAAATAATACATTTTGTTTGTTATTGTAATAGCAAAATGTTTTCATCTTATAGAAAACCTAGTATGCCTTGTATACTTGAATGAAGAGCCCTTTGTGTCACGATTTGATGCTTTGTTTTGAAAAATAAACTTGAATAAGCTTATCTAAATATGTGACAAAAGCATGCAAAAACAGACACGCAAACTGAGCAACAAACAAGTTACATGGATTTGTTACATACTAGAATGTTATTGTGTGAATGTAAGCTACCCCAACTTTAAGTTAAGGTCTACTTTTGTTGTCCTCTAACTGCTAAAAACTTTATTTTTAGCAGTTAGAGGACAACAATGCAATTAAGCCATTCTTGCAAATACTTCTTCAAAAGAGTTTTTTGTGAGGCAGATTGGGCAGATACCAAGGCCGTCCTCCAACCGCGCGTTCACTCTTCTGCGTCAGTTGGTGGACTCCAGTTCAACTTATAAGTTTGTGTGTTTTGTCACTTCTGTTCAGTGAGCAATTGTGTAGTTTTGTTGAGACGCTTTATTTTGGCTTACAAACCTTTAGTTGTGTTAATTGCTTTCTTAATTTCATAGGTTATTTACTTTGTGTTGCTTTGTGTATATATAATCCTATTTTGTCTGTTTGGATATCAGATACATTAATATTTAAGTTTCAACCTCATGGTTTTAGTGTTACTTTCTTTAAACCCAAGCTAAACCGGGTCTTAACACTTACTTACAGTATACTGTATGAGATGAATCCTCTGAAGAACCTGGCTGGCCTTCTAAACACAGAATACTCTTGGGGAAATATTGACATCATTGGAAAGGTGAAAGAGTGCACTAAGTAAAAATCAACATGCCAGTTTCTGCCCACACACTGATTTAGAGAGTTTTGATTTGTTTGTGAAAAAGTCCGGACCTGTCAGACGTAACCACGAGGCAATTGGAGCAAGTTAGCAAAAATGCGTGTTGTATTTAGAGACTGCTATTTAACAGTGAAATAAAGCTCCAAAGGCCCAACAGGAGTTTATTGGAGTTACCACACTTTAACAGTGAAGAGAAAAAAGGGAGATAAATCCATTCCAACTGCTTTATGTGTAGGCCTTAATTATATAATACAGTTCTTCTCAAAGTGGGGGTGCAGAAAAATGGCAGGTAGACGCGTCTTTATCCAGAAATATTCAAGTTAGCAGCAGGGATAAAAGGTCAAACAGCTTGTGATCAGGCCGTGTCTCTGCGGATGTGTCTTGGGCATAATGGCCTCCTTCTCCGAGTGGTTGAAATCCTCGACACAGACCCACCAGGAAGAGGTGGAGCTCCCAAAGATCTGATCAGTTGTTGCAGACCAGGCACTGGGAGAGCAACTCGATGAACTTCTGGTAACAACAAATCTCCCCTAGAGCCCTGAGGTTCTGGTGACCAGCTGCTTCCTCAAAGTTGATTTATGCACGGCCTGCTTCGTGCTGACCTTTTTTTCGCTAAGATTTAAGAATATTTTTGTATTGTTATGATTGATTGATTTATGAACGATGTCATGTATGGATTGGAAACACAGGATTTATTGAGTCATGTCACAATGCAGAAGTTTGAAAAACAATGGAACAATGAAAATGGGCCCCAATTGTGTGATGGCACAATGGAACATTCCACTCCCCTATAGGAATGCATACTTTCAACAAGCGCTTTAGAAACATGTACAAGGGAGCTAAGAAGAATAACTGGCCTTGAGCTAATTCTGGTGTATTTAGAGAAGTAGCCGTTCATTAATATACACTGCGCTATTCAACTAAACACACAAACTATATTCAAAACCGCTTTTTCTACCTGTAATGCAAAAGCTAAATGTGTGTGGTTGTGGCAATAACATGTGTCAATTAAATGAAACACTAACTAAAAGTGTTCACTCCAGCACATAGCTTTATAATTTATTTAAAGAACTTGTTTTGTTCTCCTATATCAGTCCTTGGAGGATAATAAGTAGGAAATATTCTTAAACTATGCTATGTTTGAAATAGAAGAACAAAACAAGTGTAATCTACTTTATATCAAGCATTCCTGAGAGGTATGCTTGAGGTTAGGTATTCGAGTCGTCATTATCTTTTAAAATCATTCATTCACATCTGAGCTCCAATAACTGTTGCGCCCTTGCATAATCACAGTAAACACAGGCCCTGTCAGTTCTTGGCTATAGTTAACATTTCACCTCCTCACCTGACAGCTTTATGGATTTTCAGTTTGGACATGACAGCAGAATTACATTTCTCACTGTTAATTTACCGTGTTATATAATGTTCCCGAGGCTGGGGTCCTTCTTAACTATCTGCTCTTCTCCTCATGAACTGTACACATCCTAATCTCTTCTCTCCTCCATGGATGTGCCGCAAGGACCTTTAAAAGATGAATTAGAGAGGGCGCGCGGCTTGGTGAGGCTTGGTCCTCCGCTGTGCAGGCATTGTATTGATTTCAGAGTGACTCACACCTTGGGCTGTTCAGTGCAGGAGGAGAGAAATGCCACATCATTCAATTTGCTATTTATTGCAGTTTCTCCATGGGTCTACACAAGTGCTTAATTGTTTTTTTCTCATGTGTGATGTGGTTATGACTAGATAAAGCTGCACTGTGTTGAAAGATTGTTTGTTTGGTGCCAGATTTCTAGTCCCTCATGATCCCAATGTGTAATGTATTCAGTGTGGTGATTCATTCATGCAGTTTGTCAAACAGGTGCAGTGGCCAGTAGGTGCATTTTGTTCAGTAAACATGTCTAAAATGACTTTTATTGGTTATGTTTGACAGAATAAATTCAATATATTTGTGTATGAATTTACAAGTTAATTGTATTTTTGTCAAGTTTTTGATAAATCGTTATAAAACGTATTTGTCCAAACTGGAAACACTACATCAGAGATCAATCCCTCACATGGGACATTAGTTGTCTATGATAACTTGACAATATTGGGCGGCACGGTGGCTGAGTGGATAGCACTCTCGCTTCTCAGCAAGAAGGTCCTGAGTCCTGAATCCTGGTCAGAACACGGCCTTTCTGTGTGGAGTTTGCATGTTCTCCCCGTGTCTGCGTAGGTTTCCTCCGGTTGCTCCGGTTTCCCCTACCACTAAAAAAGAGCACAATAGGTCTGAATGTAAATAAGAGAATGAATGGATGGTGTTGATTGGGACTGATGCGCCAGTGTGTTCGGCGACTCGCTTCCGTCATCACCGTGTGTGAAATGATTGGAACAATATCTGAACTCTGAACATTGTAAAGTGCTTTGGGTGACCTTGGTCTGTAATTTGCACTATATAAATAAACATTACTTACTTACTTACTTAATGTTAGATAATCTGATAATTGTACCCAGATTACCCAGTCATTGACTATCAGGTTAGTTTAGTTTAATGATAATCTGCAAAGAAGATATGTGTCATCTGTTGTCTCTAGGTCATGATAAAAAAAAAAGCATTATAGGAAGAAATAAAATAAAAACAATAACTAGGTAACATTGACACATTGGACAACATTTACTTGAAAATAGTATTTAGAGGACAGAGAAAACACAACAGGTAATAATAATCTTTATAATACGGCTCCTCGCAGTAGAATGGTCCTTTGATTTGAATGTAATTACAAACTGTTAAACTGGTCATTATTTCTTGATAACGGACCTCCAAAACCAAAAATGTCCATGGCAACGCAATTTGCCTTGTAATTCAGGTGTGTAAAGATCACTCCGCAAGTAGTCCAGCCACTTCGTCAACGAGCTTTCAGCAGCACTGCGCCTGTCACTACTGTCTCTTAGAAAAGCTACCAATATACACATAACTTTCAATCAACAAATTGCATCCAATTTCTAAAATCAACCTATTTACCCTTCACCTCTCTTTCTTATCATTCCTATCGTCATTGAAACATTACCCTAAGTGCATTATAAATTATCTTAAAATGTGTTATATGTATGTTAGCCAAACCTGTTGCTGCCCTTAGCAGAGGAAGAACAAGAAAGGAGCTTTCTGATGGAATCGGATGCCGCCGAATTCTGCGCTCACTTCTTAAATGAAATAAGGCAAAGTTACATTGAAACAATACAATAGCACAAATCATTTGATATATTGACAAAGTATTATTGTTTCCATTTTATTCTTTTTTTCTTTCCATGACCTGCCTCACCTGCCCGCTCGTCACCGGTCAGAACACTGTGGCCACGGAGGATGTAGACTTCAGTTCATACAGCAAACAACAGCAAGTGCCCCGTAGTCACGCGCATATTCTTTTAGAACATGAATTCCAAGAGACATGCTCAGTTGCCATCTCACTTATTCTGTTGCAAGAACTAACATGGTAAAAAATACTAGGTTATGAATACCTACCTAATCAGACTAATTAGGGATATTTCTACAGTAGCTATGACATGACTTGTTTTGTCTCTGTACAAATTAGACTGAAAACTTGGCAGTGACTGGACCGGGAGATCACGAAGGATTTTGGCAGAGGAATGTTTCTCAGCATTTTAGTGACACATCAGCCATGTCCACACCATCTCCACCCTCCATCTGCTTCACATAGAGCCGCTCAGTCTTGCTGCACATTGGCAATAATGCCTTGTGAAAATTAAATAGATTGTGACTCTGCTGTGGATAACAAAAGTCAGTAAAATGATTTTGTCCCAAGATGCTTCATGATAAAATGGAGATAAAAGAGTTGAATCAAGCAATGTGTGGTATGAATTGTTTTGCCCAAGAAGACAAGGATACCATTTTAAGTCTCTGGATGTTGTAGAACTGTCTTGGCTGACATGTCTGCAACATCGCGTGGTGATTGGGGACAGTGCCAATGAAGTGGCAGACTGGGGTGGTGGCCCCTCTTTACGATAAGGGGGGCCGGAGGGTGTGTTCCAATTATTGTGGGAACACGCTCCTGGTAAGGTCTACTCGGTCTGTGTGGTTTTTCTTCCCGACTGCAGAACATTTGACATTCAACCGTGTTCCTAGGGTGTCCTGTGGGGGGTTCTCTGGAAGTACAGTGTACAGGTACCTCTGCTGATGGAGCCAGAGCTGTGTTTGCATCGCCAGCAGTAAGTCAGACCTGTTCCCGGTGCATGTTTGACTCCTTCAAGGCTGCCCTTTGTCACCGGTTCAGATCACTGTCTTTATGGACAGAATTTCTAGGCGCATCCAGGGGCCGGAGGGGGTCCAGTTTGGGACTTCAGCTCTGCTGTTTGTTACTCCACAACCTCATCCCTGACCTCTCTGGTGTGCTCCTTAGCCTCATGATGTTGTTTAGCGACCAATACACTCTGGCTATAGCTCTGAGGCCCTCATAGAACAGCTGCATATACTGAGAGTAGATTCCACACAGTTTACCTCTGTGCAATTATTACGGAAAGGTGTGAACATTCAGTCATTAAAGAGGATTTAGATGCCAATTATTGCAAAAAAAAACTTGAGTACTTGTGAAGGTCCACATTTTCACTTTTCCATTTATAAACTAATCATATCTGCATGTATTTTACTTTCACTTCATACAGTAGTTGTCTGTCACTGGTGTGTTTCACATTCCAGCTACAGTATAAGGACATACAACATTTACAGGCTTTCAATAGACAGAAAAAGTGATTTCCTGTCCACTGTGAATTATACCCTCTGATATAATTATGAACTGGGAAGATAAAATAAGAGACCTTGTATGTTTGGTTCCCACAGGAGCCTTCCCTGCCGCTGCGATGTATGCTCGCAAAGACAGACTCAACCGTCCCTCACATGTGGCAACTAAGACATTCCAGGCTCTGCGCATCTTTGTGAACGATGAGATGAAGGAGCTGCATGCTGGTCTGCTGGCCGCTCGGAGCGCTCTGAGGCCGGGGGGACGGCTGGTCGTGATCACCTTCCATTCTCTTGAGGACAGACTGGTCAAAAGGTTTTTACAAGGAGAAGATTTGTCCAACCTTGATAAGTTTCACTTTGAACAGAAACAGAAAAAAAACACATTTTCCAATAGACCAAAAGAGAGAAGTGAATATTGGGTTCCTATCATAAGGAAAGTGGTGTCTCCAGAGAAACAAGAAATGTTAGAAAACCCAAGAGGACGTTCGGCTAAACTCAGAGCTGTCTCAAGACTGTGAGAAATATTTTGAATTCAGAAAGAAACTGTTGAACAAAAGAGAAAGATGCTTTTAATGTGCAAAGAGTTGTGTTATAGGGGATGTGAATTGCATAATGAAGCAGGCTCACGAGATGGCCGATAAAGAAAAAACAATGGATAGAAATGTGGAATTGTGGTAAACACAAATGATTGAAATGCCTGTGTGAAATACACAACTGTATACATTAAAAGGCTGATTGGGAGATGACGTGTCCTGGGTCTTCCCCGAGACGTCCAGGAGGCATCCAAAACAAAAGCCTAAGCCACCTCTATTGGTCGTTGTTAAAGCCAAGTCCAAACTGTAAACTTGACTTGATGAGTTTGAATTATGTAGGTGAGAAAAGAGACTCCGCTTGTTGGTTTCCCAGCTCCAATGGGAACCACCACAAGTTTTTTTTGTTACATGATGAGACGTATGGGTCGCTCGATTCTTATTGAGATCCTTTATCAATCAATCAATCAAATTGTATTTATAAAGTGCTTTTCATACAAAAGATGCAACACAAAGTGCTTTACAGTTTGGTTAAAAACAATCCCGCCAACCCAAGACCCCTCCCCCAGACCACCCAACAGACCCACCCCAAACCACAGACAAACACACACACGTGCTCATGAACACTCATATACACGCACACACACACACACACACACACACCAGTAAAACAATAAAAACATGATGAGAGACTTGACAGGGTTCAGATGCAACCAGCTGAAAAAGCGTCATCCAAGGAGCCGTCTGCACCAGGAGCAGAGAGCCGCCCGTAGCCACAGGGGACGACACAGGACCCAGAGGAGACATGAAACCGAGGCCCCAGGCCCCCACCAGGCCCAAGAGTCCGACCCCCGCAGCCACACCGACCACTGCTCCCGGTGCAGAGGGCTCCTCCAGAGGAAACACTGGGTACACTAAAAACAATACAATAAGTAAAACACTAAAATGTGAGACTAAAAGGAACACACAATACATGAATAATAGCAATTGCAATATAATAAATAATAAATAATAAAAAATAATTAGAATGGAATAATAAAAACTAATCAAAAGCTAATCTAAAAAAGTGTGTTATTAAAATGTGAATCATCTCATCTTACATTAGTTGTATCTTAAGGTTTAGCCTCCAATTCCACTGTTGTTCATTTGCTGTGTTAGCATCCACGCTAACGATCAGTGGTTTCCTTGTCATTTTCAGCTTATTATCAAGAAGAGGCAAAGTGATGATCTATAACTAATGCATCGTGAATGTACATGGTTGAGTTGTTCTTTACTGTACCACATGAAGGCCGCCAAATGAATGAATGACGCAAGTGTGAGAAGTGGTGTTGAATGAGCTGCTTGTTCTTGAATTTTCTCCCACCTCCGGCTGAAAGCAGTTGAAGTGTTTGGAACTACTATTTGCTGTTCACTAATTGCGATTGCTTCATAAAGATTATCAACACTTTTTTTCTTTCTCTGTCTCACTTTAGTTGTCTCTAAATATACCTTGTTCTTGTAACCATGGAAACAAAATGGCGTAAGTAACATTTAACTGTGTCTAAAAAGATGCTGTCTAATACAATGCCGCAACTTGAGTCAGTTGTTTGACATCAATGGCCCCTTCACTCTGAAGGTTTGGGATTTGGGGACATCTATATATTATCTTCTGAGGAAAAGTCTGTGCAGGATTGGGTCCATAGACTGTTTATAACTGGGCTGTACTTTACGGTGGTTATTTTGAAATGGAAAATGTTTGATTGTAAAATGAGTGTCATGGTTACATGTGAAAAGCATCCCGTATGACTAAAACCATCTATAAATATAAATATAAAAAGAAAATTAAATGCCACTGGGTTGCAGCTCATATTTATTGTAGATTTTGTGTGAGGATAAAGCTGATACAGAGACATGAAACAAAACTATAACTATATAACCAGGAAAAATTGCTGTGAGCGAAAGCATGAGGTAAATAACTTCCTCCACAGAAAGAATCACTGCTCAAGCACTGATATCAGTCTCTCTTTCCCTTAGCTTTTTATTTTCTGTGCAGAATCAAATGTGATTTTTTCTGTTCTCTGCACTTCTATCTTTTTCATAGTTGCAAAACAGAATTGTGTGGTTAAGTTAAACTTTAAGGTCTCAGAGGGGACATTTGTCTCCTGCATTTGACCCATCCTGCAATTCCACTAGGGTTTCTGTCAGGAGCAGTAGTCGCCGTTGTGCAGCGCCCAGGGATCCATCTCCCAATGTTGTCAAGACAACTCTACCTTTTGTACATGTTTTTAGTGGTAGAGGAAACCGGAGCACCTGGAGGGAACCTACGCAGACATAAGAGGAAAATACAATAAAGGCCCTGTACCGACTGGAATTGAACCCAGGACCTTCATGCTGAGAGGCAGGAGCGCTATTCGCTCAGCTGCTGTCTCGTCCTGTATTGACTGGGACAGATCCCACGACCTTCTTGCGGTGAAGCGCGAGTGCTAACCACTACAGTGTGTGCTGCTGTGCCATGGATCTATCATAATATCAGGATAAGGTATTACTAGCGTGCAGCTGAAGGACCCATGTGCTCGGGGGATTCTTGCTACTGTAGACTAAACGAGACTACATTAATTTGGGCTGCTCAGAAATGTTCCCTATAGAACTCCATGTAAACTAAAACAGCTCGACCTCAGCTGACAGAGAACCTACAGCTTTCATAAAAGTCGAAACCTTTTTTTCTATAAATCCACAAATTAATGCAACAAACTCTGCTCAATTGTCTCCCACTCTAGCTCCACTTTGATCAGCAGCACCTGATTGGTCAGAACGCGGCCGAGCCCCTCTGTGCACGTTCATGAGAGCCACACACGTGTATTTGGCGCAAAACTGGGAGGACCAGACAATGCCCAAATACGGGCGTTCCGCTAATCTCTCTGTGCCCATGCCGCTACATGCGCTACTGAGCACAAGCCATTGATTTGAATACGGCGCCATCTTTAATTGTGTCTTGGAAGAAGAGACATAAATGATAACACGGGTGAACTGTTCATGAGAATGATAAACTTCAAGAATGCCCCTTACGTACTATTGATGAACTGTTTAACTCTGTCACCTCTAGTGTTTTGAATGTTCTAGACGCCATCGATCCTGTGAAGGTTAAAATGGTTACTAAAAAAAGGCCCGATGGACGAAAGCAGACTAGGTAAGGGCACAGAAGCGGGAGTGCAGTAGGGCTGAGCGGAAGTGGTGAAAGTCCAACCTCCAGGGTGATGATGAAATCTTTAAAGATGAGTCTTGTGAGTTTAAACGGGTGAAACCCCACTTTCCTAATATACCTAAGGTTCTATGACTGTGTTGTAACGCCCATTAAGGCTTCGCTATTGCCTATGTCCCAGAAGACCCGCTTCCCGCCCTGAGAAGATCAAACAATCAACCACTCCAATCACCTTTACGTCCTGGCGTAGGCCAGTCCCTATATAAGGGCCCTGCACCACAGCTCTTCTCCTTTCCAACTCAGTCGAAGAAGAGAGAGCAGGCCTGCTGGGCCCAAAGCTAAAGGGCTTTGCTACAATATACTCCCAGCAGGCATGAACTCCCGTGATTGGAGCAAACCCGGGACCAACGTGCCCATACCGCAACCAAACGGCAAAGACGGAGGTCCACAAGTCATCAAAAGGTGGATGCGGGGCCACCTCTCCCAAGAGGGCCAGCGCATCCCCATCCTGCAAGATAGTAGAGGAGAGAGGAAGAACCAAAATTGAGCAGGCAGCCTCTCCCAAGAGCAATAACATCTGATTGATTGATTAGATAGCTTACATTATATGATGTAAACAGCCTTAGGTTTTCACAAAAATGTTTTCTATTGGTTCAATGTCACAACATTGAGAGACGTTATTGTTCTAAAATATTGATATTGCTATATGTGGAAAATTAGATATACCTGTTTGTAATGTATGTAAACTCCCATGTTCCTCTGGGTATTCATTTTGCAACAATAAGAAAACAGGAAACAGTGTGGATAGACATTATTTTTCTTTTTGAATATGGCTTTCAGCAGATTGAGTCGTAAGTGCAAATGTTTATGGAATCCTCATCATAATGGTGGCATTACAAAATCATACCCCCACCCCCCCCACTTACGGTCATATCACTGTGAATTTAAAATGTTCTGTCCGAGTCCCAGCCTGCTATATTCCCAGCAGTGGTCCATTTGGTGAGCTGTGGTGATTGGCATGAGACTCAGGTTTGCCCCTGCGGTTACAATGATAGAGTTGGTCTGAGTGTGAATGACTCATACTTACCGTCTTGGCTTCAATCCTCAAGACCTGGTAATAAGTGTTAATACAATAGGGAATCGGTTGTAAATGCGTACGAGTTAGTTTTAACATACTGTGTACTTTTTATTATTATTTAAACAAAATTGAAACAATTCCAATGAAAAAGAGTCACCATGCAACTTTTATTTGTGAAGAATCTTCTTGCTACTCGTCCTTAAAGGCCAGATTTGTGTACACGTTCCCCCAGCTCAGCAGTGGTACTTTGCTGCTCTTCATCTTGGGGCACTTGTTTACCTTTCTGACCAGTGCTCTTCTTGTTCGATCTGTTAGTTTAGGTGGACAGCCAAGTCTTGGTGAATTCGCAGTGGTGCCAGAATGGATTGAACAGTGGTCCGTGAGATGTTGAGAAATCTTGGTATAACATGATGCTGCTTTACTCTTCTCCTCAACTTTATCCCTGACCTCTCTGGTGTGCTCCTTGGCCTCTATGATGTTGTTTAGTTACTAATACACTCCGACTGCAGCTCTGAGGCCCTCACTGAAGCTGCATTTATACTGAGAGTAGATCACACACACTTTACTTTACAATTATTAGGGCAAGGTGTGAACCTTCAGTCATTAGAAATGGTTTAAATGCAATATATTTAAATAATAAAGCTTTTTATTAAATTGAATTGTATTTAAATAAATAAAAAGCTGTACTGAATACTTGAGCAGGCCTTACTTTTTACTTCATTCATATCATTTATATATATACAGTATATATATTTCATTTTTACTTCACGAGTGTGTTATTTGTGTGTGAGCGTTCAGTAAAAAAATTGAATTATCTTAATTGTTAAACAAGACAGCAGTGGCAAACATTCAAGCTGTATTAATACTTTTGCAAGACACTGTAAAATCTCATGACTGCATCTTGACCCATAATATATTGCTGCTCTCTTTATACAGTCATATAGATTTAGACTACAATACTGTTTATAGACATAGATTCAACATTATCTAGATCCATATCTGTTGTGGAATAAGTGCCCAATTGTTCTTATCTTAAATGAAAGCGTCACTTCGGCAGGCAGGACAAGGTCTGAGAGCAGCCTCTGCTGACGGGTCACTGAGCTGATGGCACAACAACACTATAGAGACCATTGTCTCTCTCCTCTTTTATATCTTGAGCCTGTCCCTCAACAACATTTACTAGAATTGACATTACTCCATAGACACTTGAAAGTCGCAGTATAATTGTTATCACAAATTAAAATGTTACATGGACAAGCACATGGGAGAGAATATTGATGTTTTACCCCAGTATGTTTATAACTTAAATATAATTTGTGAGACTTGTGTTATTTAAAGCTCTGGCCTGTCATGACTGGAGGTATGTCTCAAAGTTGTAATTGTGTTCGGCGCTTAATCAAAGTACAGAATTGTGCCCAACAGCAACACAGATGTTCCCAAACTCACTTTCTTTTTAAATGGTGGTTTCCAGGCAACAACTTTTTCTCAAAACGTTTTAATCGGCATTTATTTTTGAAATTTATTCAGTCTTTGTGTCACGTGTTTACTGTAGGTGCAATTTCTTGTGTTGTTTTTTCCCCCCATTTGATCTACTGAATTATTATTTAATGTACACTGATATCTGTTGTAAAAGTCAGAAATCCATAAAAATATATTTTCCGAGTCCAACACCCTGGGATTGGAAAAGTGATTAATTTTATGTAGATCCATTGCTTGGTGTAAATGGCCTTTCTGCTTGATAATTTAATTTACTTTCTGGTTTGCATCCCATGATTATAATGCCATCCGCCCACCTCGAGCTGCACATGCACGTTTAAAGCCTCAACATTTGTGTTTGCTCCCCAGGGAGCTACGGGATATTAATTCTGCTGCAGCAGTTTAGAAACAGGTATGTGACTCACAGCACTCTCTGGAGGCGTAGATGCTTACTGCCCTTAGCAAAGTCTGCCCTGTCTGTGGTTCGCACATGCCTGCCACTGCCCAGGTGTGAAGTGGAAGTTGCCTCATGTCCTCCTGTGCTCCGATTAGGTTGGGGCTGTGATTGCTGACAGGTGATGTGCTTTTGGCTATTTCAGATTTGTACCCTGCGTTGGCATTTAGAGCAGACCCATAAGTGCAAGCAGAGCTGTGAGCTTGCACCAAGGCCATCCACACCACCGCCCACCCTGCCCTACCTTCCTGGATCTTTGATCGGGTACAAAGACGCAGTGCATCCTCACGTACGGTACGCTCACGTATATGACCAGGTCAATAGGTGGTGTAAATGTATAAGCTCATCCCAACCTTCATCACAACGCGCCAAAACACGCATGAAATTCAAGATCTGGACAACAATAAACATATTCCCACTCTGACAAAATTATAAGCTGCGTTTTCATTGAGCATCACATTTCGAAATTAGAATTTGTGCAGTTCATGATACGTTCATGATGAGGACCCTCTTCTGTTCTGACTTGTATGTATTATTTTCATCTGTATGATTTTTGAAATGTGAAGTGCTTTGTGATCCTGGTCTATGAAAGGCACTTTACAAATACACTTGACTTACTGAATAACTATTAATATTCATTCATTCATTCACTCACTTCTAAAGTTCAAGAGAGATGAGTGCTGCAGTGGGTCTAGACCAGGGGTCTCCAACCTTTTCCAATCAGAGAGCTACTTTTATACAACAGAAGAGGCAGAGAGCAATTTCTTTTTGCAGTCATAATAAAAATGTATGTAAAAATAACGACAAGAGAGGACACACATGAAGAACATACGTAAAAAATACTGTAATTACTGTATAAGCCTTTTTGTTACTTATAATGGATATGTAATGACTCAAACTGGATTCATTAAAGATCATTTGTTAAATTCTAAATCCTTTGGCGAGCTACCTGAAAGGGGCTGGCGAGCTACCAGTAGCTCCCGAGCCACAGGTTGGAGACCCCTGGTCTAGACACATATATACAGTATATAGCATATATATATATATATATATATATATATATATTGAGGTTGTTCCGGGGATCCGCTGTAACCACTCTTCTAGCTTCGGGGTCACTGCCCCGAGTGCACCGATCACCACGGGCACTACTGTCACCTTTGCCCTCCAGGCCCTCTCCAGCTCCTCTCTGAGACCTTGGTATTTCTCAAGCTTTTCATGTTCCTTTTTCCGGATGTTACTATCGCTTGGAATTGCCACGTCCACCACCACGGCTGTCCTCTGCCCTTTGTCCACCACCACGATGTCAGGTTGGTTCTCCATTACCATTCGGTCGGTCTGTATCTGGAAGTCCCACAGGATCTTTGCACGCTCATTCTCCACCACCTTTGGAGGAGTTTCCCACTTAGACCTTGGAGTTTCCAGCCCATACTCTGCACAGATGTTTCTGTACACTATGCCAGCCACTTGGTTATGGCGTTCCATGTAGGCCTTCCCTGCCAGCATCTTGCACCCTGCAGTTATGTGTTGGATCGTCTCAGGTGCCTCTTTGCACAACCGACACCTTGGGTCTTGTCTGGTGTGGTATATCTGGGCCTCTATCGCTCTGGTGCTCAGGGCCTGTTCCTGTGCAGCCATGATGAGTGCATCTGTGCTGTCCTGTAGGCCAGCCCTTTCTAGCCATTGGAAGGACTTCTTGAGATCAGCCACTTCTGTTATGCTCGGGTGGTACATGCCGTGTAGGGGCTTGTTCTCCCATGATGGGCTCTCCTCCAGCACCTCCTCATCTCGCCACTGTCTTAGACATTCACTGAGTACGTCATCCGTTTTGGCCTTCTCCATGATGTAGTTATGGAGTGTGGATGTTTCGTCCTGGACAGTGGCTCTCACACTCACTAGTCCTCGGCCTCCTTCTTTAGATTCAGATTCAGATTCATTTATTTGCCATTTGCAGTAAAACCACATTGGAAAAACTGTGCAAGACTACCCCGGTGTGCACCAGACACGACACACACCAGAGCTCTTGCCGGCTTACGTACAGTCTCAGGGTGCTGGATTTGGGATGGAACCCGCCATGCATGGTAAGGAGCTTTCGAGTTTTAAAATCCGTGGTCTGAATCTCTTCCTTTGGCCACCTGATTATTCCTGCAGGGTATCTGATCACTGGCAGGGCGTAGCTGTTAATTGCCCGGGCCTTGTTCTTGCCTTTGAGCCGGCTTCTTAGGACCTGCCTTACTCGCTGTATATATGTGTATATATATATATATATATCCATCCATCCATCCATTTTCTACCCTTTAATCCATTTCTGGGTCAGGGGGGTGGCAATCAGAGATGCCACCCAAGTCTCATAGCACCAGCCCCTCACTGACCCTCTGCAGGTGGTGAGTCCACAGGAGCTGAGATCTTCCAGTGGGGGCTTTGGGCAAAGTGGGGTTAAGTGTCTTGCCCAAGGACACAACGACAGCAGTCGTCAGTGGGAGTCGGTGGAGAAGGTGTAGAGGTGGGAATTGAACCCACGACCTTCTGGCCTTAAGGCCAA